AGAGGGTGGGGAGGGGTCTCCCAGGGGCCCTGCCCCTTTCTGTCAGGCCCCGGAAGCCGGGGGAAGGGCGAGCACCGTGCTGGGGAACAGTGTCACTAACTGAGAGCAGACGGGAAAGGGGACGACAGCCCGAGGTCTCTCGTGAGCAGAGACACAGAAATCACATCAGCGAACCAGATCTGAACATACGTGAAAACACTATGCTCCAAGACCAAGTGGGGCTCATCCCGGTCTGCGAGGCGGGCCAGCACTCCCAAACCAGTCACCGCCATCTATCACCTCCGCAGGCTAAAGGGGGCCACTGTCAATCACACTGACAGACGCACGAGGCCTCTGACAAAGCCCCCCCAACGTGGCCGGGACTCCTGGTGACGAGGGGACAGGGGCCTCCCTGCGGCCAGAGAACCTCAGTGGACACAGAGCGACAGGGACACGTGGAGATTTCCCACTAGGTCAGGGTCCAGTTACCGGGGCTGGGGTCCGATTTCCACACTTGGGGGCCGCATGGACCCTGGGACCATCACCAGGGGCATCGCGCTCCAGAGCAGGGGCATGGTCTCAGCGTACCAGGGGGGCCTGGCTTCACATGGTCCCACCTGTGTCCTCTGCTGACCCACCAACGGCCGGCTCCACCACCTCTACAGTGGCCCTGCCTCCCAGAGTCGGGGGGGTCCCCACTGTACCGCCTTAGCACCCATGTCCTAGCAGGAGGGTCCAGCAATGGCTCCAAGACCCAGGCTCGCGGACGGGCTCGCTCCTACCGCCCCCGACCATCTGCGTGGGCTCCGTGCCACCGGTCACGGTGCAGCTGCAGAGCTGGCAGCACGATGGCCGGGAGTGAGGACGTCCTGCCCTTCCCAGGCTCCCGCGGGGCCCCTCGGGGACAGCCTCTGTGCACCCCGGCCTTCCGGCCACGCACACAACAACGGACCACGCCCGGCAGGGACATGGCCCCCTGGACGCACGCTGGAGTCCTCCCAGGGGAAGATGGACGGGTGACAGCGTGTGACAGGACAGCGGCTCGGGGTCAAAGGGAGCGTGTGGGCCGCAGGGGGCGGTCACGCCTTTGCCTCACAGACAGTTCTGCCCCAGCCATTCGTTTACTGGGTCCAGGGCTTCCGCCTGCAGGGGCCAGAACGGCCGTGGGCGTCCTTTGGGGTGGGGACTGCAAGGCCTGAGCACACGTGCCAGGCGGGTGGGGATGGCCGAAGAGCACGGGCGGCGCGACCCTGGTCCCCCAGGCCCCCTCAGGTGCCCCGGCCCAGGTGGCCGCGAAGCCCCAGGGTCTGAGTGTTTCTCGCTGTGGGGGGGGGCCCCCAGCGCACTCCCTGCGAGGCCCCGGCCCTGGGCCCCGGCTGACTGCGGGGGGCTCCTGGCGCCCCCTGTTACCTGTTTGACAGGGTAGGTCCGGGCACACGATCTGGGGGTCTAGGAGACAGGGAAGGAGGCCGGGGTCACTTTCTGCTGCCTCTGCACCCAGCCCCTTCCGTCCACCGCGCAGTGCCCACCCCCTCCTCACCCGGGCACAGGACGTCCTCCATGTCGTCGATGAACTTCTCGGCCACCAGGTCGGAGAAGAGCGTTTTTTTTCTGTGGCTTGTCGCAGGCGATGGAGTAGAGGTTCTCGCTCTCGTGCTTCTCGTGGAACATGTCGCCGATGCCGATGGCGGTCACCGTGACGTCGTGGTTGCACAGCGCCCGCAGGTTCAGGTCGTCGTCCCGGGGGTCGTGGCGGCCGTCCGTGATGACCACCGCGAACACACGGGTCTTCTGGCGCCGGCTCTCCTTGATGAGCTGGTTGTAGGCGAACTTGAGGGCCGAGGGCGTCCAGGTGCCGCCTGCGATCCACTCGAGGTTCTTCACGGCCTCCTTGAAGCTGGACAGCGAGTCGATGCGCTCGTCGTCCAGCTGTATGGCCTCGAAAGTGCCCTCGTGGCTGTACTGCACGACGCCCACACGGGTCCCTGCAGCGGCCAGGCGTGAGGTGAGGGGCCGGCCCCATGCCCGTCGCCGCCCCCGGAGGGGCCCCGGGACCCTCGGCCAAGCTAACGTGCGCCTTCGAATGTCCTTTCCCCCTGGCCGCCCATCTCCCAGAACCAGACCTCGGGGAGCCCGCCGCTGGCCTCCCACCCCACCCCCGCAGGCGCAGCTGACCCGTCTCGGACTTGGGGTCCTTGGCGATGGCCCCCAGCCTGTTGACCACGTTGATGACAAAGTTCTTCTCCAGCGTGAAGTTGGTGTAGCCGATGCTCTCAGAGCTGTCAATGACGAACACCACGTCCAGGGCACCACACCGCTTCTCGCAGTCTGCGGAGGGCAGAGGGCTGATGGCTGCGTGTGCCGACCCGCCGGACACGCCCCCGGGCACGCCCCCGCC